AGCATTAGATCTTTTATGTAGTGATGGCCATGTATCTGACCCTCAGTACACAAAAACACAGTCATTGCATGCAGGCCACCAAGCTCTGATGGTGCCGAGTCTTTGACCCTGCTGGATGGGTGCAAGTGTGCCATTAAAATCTCGGTCAACTTACCAACAGCAGCAGCCAGTCTCCTGAAACAGTCTCGTATTCTTTGAAGGTTGTTAGGACGGCTAAGATCAAACACCCCAAAACTATGAGAAACCTGGAATGAATAAAAGGAGAAAACAGAGCATTGTTACTTCTGGATCTACTTGTTTAAAAAGGGACCATCTAGCATCCCACGCAGAGGCCTTAAAGGGGTTGCTACTTACCATCAGTGAGCAGTGTGGGATGGGCTCTCATTGAGATCAAAGGTTCTGAACCTGGGGAGTCACAAAGAGGTGTCAGGGGGATTAGGACCACTTTGTTCTTCCCATACTGCTAAATGAGGCATGGTGCTGGGTACGTCCCAGAGCTGTAGGGTCCTGCTGTTGAAAAGGACCCACAGTGTGGAGAGGGCGAAGAGAATTTTATTTATTAATTAATATTACTTAATTTCATAAAAGCCTCTGGCCGTCACTACAATTTCAGAAGTTCAATGGGAGGAGAAGAGAGGAGGAAGAGAATATTGTTATGGTCACGAAAGGGATTTTAAGACATGAGTGCATGATGGCAAGGGGCTGAATGCAGTGAGCTTGATAGTCCCTCAAGTCTAGTGTTCCTATGTTCATGGACATTTCATTTATGGAAATTACCTCCCGTCTGCACTGACTGCATGCAGGATGCATAGGTGTCACCCCCATGATGGGCATCTTAGAATGGCATATGCCAGTAATTAATAATGAGATGGCATTGCCATAACAGCAAAGAAAAATCTATTCAGCATGCACTGAAAACCAGAAACACGGCATGAACGGTTCCGTATGCCGGGAATTTTGGCACCAATACAACTTTAGGGAATACTCTAGTGCTCTCTCTCCCTATTATTTTGTGCAGATAAGGAAAAATAAGGGGTCAGAGATGGGAACAAGCCTAAAGACAAAGTTCTGCTCCTTGACGTGCTTGATTTATGTTAAAAAGCTGCTAATATTAGTTCCAGGCTATGTGAACAGAATGGCTCCAAAGAAAATATTTCTTTCCAGGTCACTTTGATCACTCAGACGATATCAATATGGCAACAGGAAACTGAGTTTTGTGACAGATAAGAAACAGGGGAACTTTAACTCTCACTGCTGGTACATCTGAAATAACCACGTTGAACCATCTCACAAAGGAGTTTCCAGGCTCACTGTATTCAAAACTGCCTGCAGCAAGGGAGATGGTTATCAGCCAAGGTGCACTGGCTACTTCGTAAGGCAAGAAGGCCCTAAACCACCCCCATTCCAACTACAATGAAATCTGTTGTGCTTTGAAGCCATGCCAGAGCATCCTGGCTAGGACAGAAGCACAAAGGACCCTTTGGAGGCATTGACCCCAGTCCCCAACTACTGCAGGCACCCATGTCAAATAGACCTGGTTCACAAGCTGCTCACACTCTACCTTAGATTTAGTCAGATTTTTGTCCTCCCTGCTCCCATTGGAAGGCTGCTCCCGGACCTCCCAGCTCTGATATTCAGAAACATCTTCATCTCTCCAACCTGAATGTATTCCTGGCCAGTTTATACCTCATTTTCTTGTGCCAGTATTCTCCTTTACCCACAGCAGTTCTGCTCCCCGCTTGGTGTTGGCCCCATCAGATGTATGTAAAAAGAAACATGACATTCCCTCTGGACCTGGTTGGGGAATGAGTTTGCCCCCTACAATAAAATCAGTGCAGAGACTTCCCCCAAACATCACCACCCATACAGCGGCCCATACCGTCATCTCTTCCAGTAGCCTGCAGAGACATTACCTTCCCCAGCTGTGCTCTGCAGAGCTGAAACAGGGCTGACAGACATCAGTCCCAGCCTTTTTCCCTGGCTTCCCTGAGCTCTCTCTTTCTCTCTTTTCCTCGATGTGGTTTTTGTGACAGAAGGTGCTACACAGCTCCCTGAGGATTTTTTTTAATGAATTTCTTTATGGATTCCAAACAATGAAAGAGTCTTCTTGCCCTGGCGCGGTACTGACCTGATTTACCGATTTCACTTCAATCAACATAATAGATGCAGTGGGTAATGCTGCTTATTATTAAAGTTGCTTGGCACTTCCTTCGGCTGTTGCTGATAACTTTACCCAATTTAAAAACTGTTTGGGCTGATGTTTTCCATGTCAAGAAAATTGCCTGAAGCTGGAAAAACCCATCTCAGACAGTTCAGCCATTGCTGAGAATGAGATCAGAGAAAGGTACGTTGCTTTACCTGCATTATATCATTCTGGCAACATTTGCCTTTTGAAGCCCTAAAATCTCTCTCTCCATGCTAAGGAGCAAGGTTTGACCCTGGGAAGGTGTTTAGCTTTTGATGTGGTTAGAAGACTTTGGAAGAGCAGAGTTTTCATTTGCTTTCTATTTGATGGAAAACTACAGAAGAACTGAGATTGACTGGACAAAGAGCCTGGATCCAAAGCAAAAAATACTGAGATAAAACAGAGTCTGAGGAGGGAGGTTGAGATTGGGAGACAGCGAAGACAGAGAATCATGACAAGGACAGAAAGAAGTAGAG